TTGTTGTTAACTCTTGTTTTGTATTGAGATATAAATGTATTAATAATATGAATGTACCGTACTCATTTAAAAGTATGATTAGATGTCTATTTGACTAAGTTTAACAGTATTTTGACTTTTGTTTGACAGTGTTTTTGGGAATAAATGAATAAAACTATAATTAAACATAACTGTGATTAAGGCTTAAGAAGCTATGAGTCGTCTAATTATTTTAGTCGATTCAGTGCTTCTTATATTGTAATCATATAATCATAAATTGTAGCGAATATTCACTACTAGTTATGGCAGTGGTTGTGGTGCTAACAATGAAATAAACTCTTATTATAGCTAATTATTAATTAAATTATATAATGATAATACAATACTGTATATTATTATTTGAAAATATCATAACCACTAATGAAACTAATTTTAAACTTAATTATTATGTGGTTTTCGGAGTATTTTTCTCAACAATAGTCTTACTAATGAATGGATTGGTGGCTGTGGGTGACGGGTGTTGTGCAATAGCAGTGGTCAGTCATGTCTAATAGGGTACAGTCGGAGAGAACATACTCTCAATAGCAGCCGGCGTGGAGACCAGGTCCTCGAGTTTGAGACAGAAAATCCGTTGCAAACCATTGACGGAAAGTGTGCGCAAATCCGGCAGTTTAGCCAATATTCTTGAGAAATAGTGCGGTTTCTTCTGTGCCTCACTATTGTATGTCACGTGATCTTTGAGGGAGTTTATGATCTTCATCTGCAACTGTTCCACGCGGTGGGCGTCTTTCAACCCATGCCTCTCTATATATGCATAACATGTATATAATATATTTCATTAGCAATTGTAATATGTTTTGAAATCACTGTCTGTAACGACATACCAGTGACGAGAGTGAGAGCGCATAAACAGGCGAACGCAGAGATGTCTAACTCCATGAGCCGAAGATGTTGTGAGAAGTCGATGATGGAGGACAACCAGTCGCCGAAACTCTGTTCGCACTGATGTCTACTCAACACAACTCCGTTACAAAACGTGAACCGATCGGCATTTGATTGCATTCTGGTCGATGAATAAGACAATTAGCATACCATTCACTCTAGTATATCATGATTCTGGACATACCTGTAGGCCATCCTCAGCACAAATAACTCAAGACATGCCGATTGAAAAAGTAATGATTGATCGGATTTGTCGAGATCTGCAAATCCGGGGATTTTTTCGGCGAAAGAGTGGATAACATCGAGAGATGACATTAAAATGCTATAAAACTGTGAAATATATTCAGGGCCACAATTCTTTTCGCTCAAATCACTCGACTCTTTGAACTTTAGAAATAAATCGATTGGAAAATGAGTGACAATCAGAATTAATGAGTCTATTATTAGTACACTTACGAGACTGTAATCCAAATTAGCCAAATCGGGAGTCGTGTCCACGTGTGCCCTCACCAGAGCTGTTATTGTGCTGACGGGTGGCGATGGGGGCGACTCCTGAGGCGATTTGGGCTTTGATGGCAATCGACCTCTTCTGCCCTTCAGATTATCAGTTCGAACCACTGTTTGCATAAAAGTGCAGTTTTCAGTATCATTTCGCGTGGTTTGTGTGATAAGCACTCTTACCTTCTTTAACCATTCCTACGGACAGACATTTCTGAAAGCGACAGAATTGACACCTGTTTCGCCGCCTCTTATCGACGGGACAGTCCTTATTGCCCAGACAT